CAAACACGGAACCCCAAGAATATCGCACCCGCAAAAACAACGAAATAAAACTGATTACCAAGCCATTCCGCTCCCAATCGCCGGTGCAAGCAAAACACTTCATGCGTTCGGGCAGACCCGATAACTTCACGAATTTATCAACACGGCCTTGTTGTGCTTCACGCCTCAGATGTTCACCTTCAGAACCGGCATTGACGAATCACATGATCCTCAAATGCTGTGAATCCTCCAACAAGACTCGCAACATCACAGGCCTTTCCATCTCGGATTACACGTGGCGCTGCTAAACTCCAATAGGAATTTATTTACCAGGGTCCTTACATTCTTTTATATTCCTACCATGTTCTCGGGGTTCCCTGTTTGGGGTTCCCATTGGAACCCTTTTATCCTGGGTTTGGGGACGATGCTCTGCCCAGAAGCCGTATTCCGGGTGCTCAACACCAGTTCCGAGCCCGATGCAGCGGAGACTCTTGGACTGAGTCAGAAGTGGTGGCATGAGAAAGAAAAGGAAAAGAACCGGCCCTAAAAAGCAAAATCGAAGTTTCTCAAATAAGGGCTCCTGTTTATGAACTGCCCTTCTGGTTGGGAGTTGGGAATGGAAAATGGATCCCTATACTAAGTAGCCCTCATGTAATCCCGAAGGCCTACAGGGAACCTGGCACTGCGAAGGGACGAAGGGTATCCTTGTAACACGAATAGCCAGATCTCTCAAGTCTTGCTATGTAGCGGCATATGATTCAGGTACCGGCAGGGTGGGATTTCAAGGTGGCGTTCATTGTTTTGCGCTTGGGCTTCAGGATTGTCATTTCTATGACAGGAGAATTTAGAACTTGCATCCCGTGAAAACTTACTAAAGATTACCCGATGTTAGTGTAGTGTACCTTTATCAGGGGGCTCTGGATTTTGGATTCTTTCAGGGCTCTGAGTAGAGGTTCTGGCCTTCAGGCGATCTTAAACCCTGATTGTGCTAAGGGTTTGAATCCTCAGAATATGCTGAAGGCTTTGTCCGCTTTTCAGGAAGTAAATCCTAAACCCTGAACCCTATACTATAGTAGTTTCCATGTTCTTTTCCATTATCCCTGTATAACCCCCAAAGTACTATAGCACTTTCCATGTTCTTTTCCATTATCCCTATATAACCCCAATGTACTATATAGTTACGAGGCATAGCCAGATTTTCGCCTCAGTGTCAACACCTTTCAAAGCCAAGTCTTCCACAATGTAGATCAAGCCCGGGCTATATGAGGGTTAGGGATTGTATTGGGGCAATGGAAAATTAAGATGGAAACTACTCTTTAGGGTTGAGGGTTTCAGATCAAGCCATAATTCCAAACATCCTTCCGGAACTTTGCAACCTCGGGCTCTTGAAGGACCGGCTAGACGACTCTGACATCAATGCACTGTAAATCTAAGCTTCGGCTCCCATAAAAAGAGGCTTAGCTCTAGAGCCTAATGCAGTTGACCCCAAACTCTGATCCCCAGAGCCCTCATACCGTTTTCCCCTAGTCCCCAAACTGTAAACCTTGAATTCGAAGCACCAGAACCCCCGAAGTATTGATGGCATTTCGGCCTTTCCAAGGAAGCTCATGGGCGTGACAGGCACAGCGTGGCTTTCAGGGCTTAGGGCTTACCTTACTTGCAGTTTTGGGTGCCTTGATTGAGTGTCTAGGTTTGAAGGTGTAGCGTACATGGATATGTTTAGAGTTTTGGGGTTTGAATTACGTGGAGGATCTGTAGCCCTTTTCCTGACCGGCAAGACCTTTTCAGCATGGCCATGCGCTCAGGCAAACCTCAGGAAGCTTAAGCAGTTGCTACAGTCCACTTAGTTGGAGGCGCAGGGGCTAGGCTGGCACAGTTGCTGCACATGGACACCGTGTGACAAAAATGCGGTACCCTGGAAAAGTTTGTGCCCCCTACATGATCGGCTTCCAGGGGACTGGGGCTCATATGGTTCTCGCACAATGAAGCCTGCGATTGATTGATTGTACTATGGAGTGCATATTAAGGCTGCAAGCAGTTTGCTGTGGCTATACAAAGAAAAATCCCGCAAATGAAGTAGTTGGCAGGGCAAGACGTTGCAACCTTTACAGAATAGGCTTCAGCTTGGGCTTCCAACGAGCTCTGTAGACTTTAGACAAATTGGGCCATGAGGTATCCTTTTTCGGGAGAGGGAGGTGGATTGACATTCTAGACGCCTTGCACCGAACAGCAAAAGCAAATCCGTTCTTATGATTTTGTATTCCAGTATTTTTGGACATGGAGACCACCTGATTTGCAGGAATTCTAGGAATACCTCTACAGATTCACCAAAGTCTAGAATCCCAGAACACATGATATCGAAAATTCCAGACTTCTAGAATGCCAGGGTTGCAGAACTTCAGAATGCAAGAATTCCTGTCAATTGATTCTCCAGTATTCCTATATCTCCTTGGTCCCTAGATCCTGAGTCCCACCAGCTTGGCAGGAAACGTCATGGGCCGGGGACCCAGTTGGTCATGTACCAACTTCTGTGACGGCAGTCGCCGGTGGTACTAATTTCGGCTGCTACATTACCGACTCCTGAGCTCCAGTATGGTAATCAGTTTGGCTAATACAAGTATATTGAAAAAAAAACCCTACAAACAAGGCTCTTGATGGGCAAGCAGGCATGCATCATGTCTGACCATGTCATCCATAAGTGAACTTCCAGCTCAGCATACTCAGAGACTCGAACCAACATGACAGCAGTGACAAACATGAGGCTTTCCCAACAAAGAGGGTCACACCGAAGGACACTGGTGATATAGATGGCTAAGCAAATGAATGTTTAAATACATTTGGCGGCGAATCTTTTGGGCCAAACATGACAGCTACTAGGACATTGGATAGCTGCTCCAACAGTAGTTGCTGCAAGGAAAGCGTGTCTGGGGACATGACATTGGGGGGATTAGGTGCTTGCCCGGCCCAAGCAGCATGGAATTTTGACCAGCCGCCCAGTCCAAACGGCCTGTCCATACGGAAACAAAAATTGTTCTTAACAAGAGACACTGCAGGTATGAGGCCCTGATTTTTATATACCTTCTTGATACATGCTGAACTTTGAAGCAGAATTCAGGCCGAACCGGTGTAAAGCTTCACTGAAGCGAGCATTGTCAAGACGAACTGACTGATTAGATTGCCAGCTTTGGAAAGCTTAGGGATTATGTTTTCCTTGGTGCGCGGGTACTTTCTTGTAACAGTATGATCCTTACCCTTACATTTGGGTTCCCGTCAAATAGGCGTCCCCATGTAAGTTTCCCCAATTTGAGGAAGAGCATTCTTAGGCTGACTGATACATTCTGTCTCAAATGCGATGTGCGTTCTTTTTGTTGCTTCGGATTTCTCTCGCCATCAGCTCTAATACCCAAACCCCACAAGTTGAAACATTCAACCCTGGATCCCAACACACCCTACCCTACCCTAGGCTCTTAACCCTGCCTGAACCAGAGCCCTAATCCCTAAGCCCTCCCTGGCCCTATGCCCTTTGAGTGGTGTCCTATCTTTTTCCGGAGTCTACCAGAAAAACGCAGGTGAATCTTAAGCCCTATTCCTAAGCTTTATATAGCTGGAATACAAAGAAAGGCACTTCCCTCGAAGCTGCCTGAAGATTCTGGAGTATCCTGGAAGTCTGAGGTGATGAGCACGTTTTCCTGAGCGGCCTCCTCACGAACGCATTTTATCTGCAGCTCAAGATGAGCTAAATAGAATTGATTTTCGAAAGTTTGTAGTCTGCCTGGCGACCCAACCAATGTGTCGCAGGGGTTCTGAAGCATTGTTATCAAGAGGTTTCAGTGGTTTCAAATATCAGTTCTTATGACCGAGATGCTGGAGAGTAGGCCTCTGTTTGACTTGAGATCTTTGCGCTACATATGGCAAGAAGGAAGTGCTTTGTTACAGCTTACTGCTCCCAAGAGATGTCGCAATCCTGATGTTCTGGTCTTTTAAGGGTTGGAGTGGACCAGTTGTCTTCCTGCGCTCAGCCTTGAGGTCGACAGTGCACGAGGTCAGGGATTCCTGTTGAGGGCTTAGAGTTCAGGGCTTTAGGATTTGGAATTAGGATGCAGGCTTTTGGACTCTTAGATTGCTTCCTAGCTGAGGGCCCAGAGCTCTAGATTTCCTTCAAAGGCATTAGAGGCAGCTGCGACAAACACAGAATCTTCCATAAGCCCAGCATGCTCCATTACCTAGAATTGTCCTGCTAAGTCCATAGACCCTAAACTAAACCTGAGCTGTTTAGGGCTCAGGGTCCCTGATGCTCGAACCCTATGCGCAAAACAAGCCCCAGCCCTAAACTCTCCAATATATACCCCATTAGACTATAGTAGTTTCCATTTTCTTTTTCATTATCCATATAGAACGAATATATACTATATAACCCCTACATATCCCCAGCCTTCTGGCTGCATTGCAAGTCCATCGGCATCGTGGGCTCTGTGGTCTGGGCTGCGCAGGGATACGTCGCAATAGAGAGTAGAGGGTCAAGGAGATAAAGGGGTTTGCGGGGTGTAGATAAGTTCATTAGGAAAATAAGAGAGATCGCATTGCCCAAGCAGTGATGCAGGCCTATGAGGACTGCTAGTTGAGGCTCCCGCAAGAAGTGTGAAGCTCTGTTTTCTGGCGGCCTCAAAAACGCTCAAAACTTGTAAGAGCTAGCTCGTGCATAGTTTTTTGCAGATTCCCAAACCTTGTCACCTCAAGCCAGGACCCTATGAGCCCGCCTGTAATCTGGCTCATCCTATATATGAGTCTGCTCCTGACCGTGCCATGGTCCTCTTTTGTTACCAAATGTTGTTAATCTTCCATACGTTTGGGCTCCTTGCCGGGGCTTCGGGCTTAAAGTTTAGGCGAGCACCAGCAGCCATGAATTGAAATTTTCAATCTGACATCACTTAGCCCCCAGGACTTGACGCTTGTACGCCAGGGAGATTACAACCATGAAGTCAAAAAGCATTGGCTGAACTCAGAAAGTCCTTGAGGCCCTCATGATTGTGGGAGTCTCTGTGGCCTTTGCGGTCCTGCGTATGCGATATCCCATGGTCAGGGCCTCAGCTTCTTTTGCCATATGTCCAGATACGGAGCTCAAATAACCTGGCTTTAGGTACCAAAAACAGTTGAGACTCTGATCTTGGCATTTGGTGGCCCAAGCCGGTTTTGGGAACCTCGACTAATTACTGTAGGCTTTAATTTCCCAGTTGACGGGTCCAAGCAACGATAGGTCCGATAGGTTGTGTAAAGTTCACTAGCAGCAACATGAGTAGCATTTGTCAAGTCGCATTACGCAAGCCGCATTCTTCATAACGAGTGCCACTTGTCAATAAGCATGGTGCGAATCTTAATCGTAATGACACTGCTCATTGCAATCATGGCAACCAATGTCAGACGGGCAGTTTTCGAAGTCCAATTTGGGTTAACCCATCCCCCCCCCCCCTGCTGCAATACCCGTCAAAGGACTGCAGGAGGGCACCCATGATTTTGTTTTCTGAATTCCTTGCTGACCTGTTGAGCTTGCCACTGGTGCCACTCCAACCTTGAAACCTTAAATGTTTGCATCTCATGGAGTTCCAGAAATCCTGAGAAAAACTTACTGCTATAAGATTGAAATCCAGCTTATGGACCTGGATTTTTGCGGCCCTTGAGATATTCAAACTGATTGCTACCCTCCCTCAATGGCATGTATGGAGGGAGCACAATGTGAGGATCGCTGCCAGGGCGGCTCTTTAATACCCTCTGCCTGTGATTGCCGAACGGGCCTTTGCTTGCATGCGTCATTTCTGAAGGAGGCGAGGTGTTGTACACTGCCAGCACAACTATGGTGTTCGTTTGTTCAGTCGTGGCCCTCATGCTGAGACGATTTCAGAGTTTCTTTGAGGAAACCCAGGCCGCAAGTTTGCACCATTTAGCGGCCAATGCTGGACCAAAAGGTATGTTAGAAGTACTACCCCAACTAATGCAGTGATGCTCAATGGGGAGCATGATACCCTCCTTCTGATCGCAAACTACATGACCTTAAGACCCAGTAGCCTCAAGCCAGCTGAATCAAAGCCATAACTAGACACCCCTGCACAAAAACCCTAAAGCTGTGTGTGAGACTAAACTCTGTAACCCCAAGCCAAGATTTGGTTCAGGTATACAGCTACAACATTATTGCCGAGCTGGTCCCGGTGAAGTACGCCCCAGCGGTTCAGAGTTGAGGTTTACCTCTCCGCCGCTCAGGGAGCCCCATACACCTTGATGAAAGAGTATGCCTAAAATCAAATCAGTGTGATCCTGCATCCTCCTTTGTTAAGCTATACTTGGTTCTATTGTGGTGAACCTTAGGCCATGGATCCTGGCCCTGATGTTCTAAAGCCTTCAATCACGAGAACTTTGAGCCATTGAGGGAGTAGGCAGCTCCTTGTGAACGCATCCTATAGGGTATCTATGCGCCCACATTCTCAGTGGGGATATATTACCTTCCCTAACTCAAGGGGCCCTGAAAGTGGGCCTCAGAAATCTGCTTTCGGATTTCCTGGGAAGGCACTTCCGCATGGGTTAGGATCAAGTGGGTACAATCATGTAAGTCTCCTGGCAGGCTAGCATAAAAAGGGAGATACCCCTAATATTGGGGTCATATTGGGATAATGGAAAATGAAAGGGAAACTATTATATTATACAGGGTTATATATACAGATATATATATATACATATATATATATCAATATAACCCAAAAATAGGGTTATACATCTATATATAAATATAACCCTATGCTTGCATAAATAGCCATCTCTGAGTGTCCTTGATTTGGTACCCGGTGAGGTTCGAAGAGGGCTTCTTCAGCTGGATGAAAGTGGGCTTCCAGGTGCGCCAGAACGAGTTCCTGGGGGTCTTTTCATGTTGGGACTACTGCTTTTACTCTTCTTATTAGCAGGAGTACGAGTTGGGTTTCGCTTCGTCTTAGGATCTTCGGGCCGTTTCCGGTTGTCAGGGCCTGTTTGATCAGGAGCTTTTGGGAGAAGTAGTTTGGCCAGTGGCAGCATGCAGTCCTTCTGGAGTGCGATCTCTGTTCGGGGCCCTTGTTGGGACCTGGCTTTAAAACAACGGCACTGTACAGCACTGTACCCGGACCCAGTGCCCAACGTGTGTTGAAGTTGCGGTTTGGGGGTTTAGGAGCTAGGCTTTACGGATACATTGAGTCACAACACGCATATGTTGGGCACTGTGAAAAGTCAAAGTTCGCATTCTAAGTATGTTGAGATTTCTATATCTTATAGTACAAGAGGGTGGAACCGGGAGAAAACGGCTTCATATTATTGACTAAATCAGCCTCTGTTTTGAAAAATGCGTACGCACTCTCCAATCTACCAACTTCTGACCGATCATTTGTCCTACTTTCTGTTTTGGGGATCCTTCTCTTTGAGAACTTCTCTACTGGTCAGGCAGCTCCCGTGGACAAGCAGCATTGCATCATGAAACCGGTCAAGAGCCAGAATCTTCTTTCCTCTTCCCGGCCCATTTCACTCGGGAACCTTATGGGTCACTTAACTACGGCAGTTCAAGCGCTTACAACAAGAAGCCTCAACATAATTTGTAGATCGTAGGTCAACATGGGTGTTTCCAAAAATTGGGGTGTCCCTCGTACGCACCCAAATACTATTGCACCCAAAATCCACAATCCTTGTTCGGAGAGCTCCCTGCCAGGCATCAGCAAAGTTTGGGAAACCCAATGTTCTTTCCCCACCCTTTTCTGCAAAGTCACTTGCTCAAGGTGCCGACAGATGATGCGCTCATTGAGTCCATAGGACTGGACAGCGTGCGAACCTTATCTTGCTGTTTGTCTCCGTGGCACTTATGAACGAGCATGTACTTGGAAAGGGGCTTCCAAAAGCAGACGTCCCCCAAAGCTTATATACATATCTCCAAGCCACCAGAACCGCAGGAAGAGTACAAATTCACGTGCCGCTTGGAAACTAGGAGTTGGGGCTTGAAATTCATGTTGCTGCAAGTTCCGAGGGGGCCTGCAAAGTGGTTTTTTCTGGCACAGAGGTGCTCAGGAGCTATTACTCTCAAGGGCTCTGCGTTGCATGTCCAACCGCTGCGTGAGACATGATTGAGTGTTTCCGGCAGGGCATCACCCTCCCAAAGGGACCATCTGACTTTGAACCTCGTGCCCACGATTTTAAACCACCAGGCCTCATCTAGTTGCGATTGGGCCCTCAAGTCTTCCGCTCTTGTTTGGATGCTGGAACCCTGAAATCCCATCCTGCAAATCCCAAGGTGCTTATGCGACCTGGCCGAACCAGCAGCTTCCAGTACGGGGATTCACCCGCTGCGGTTGGACAAGAGTCAGGTGTTCACTTCTTCGAGAGATTCCTGGTGGCCAGATTTGGAATGCCTGCCAAAAACGTGCTTTGTCATTCCACTGTTTCGGCATCATACAAAATAAGTCGGATCCACAGCCTTCAGGACAACTCCTTGAGACACTTCCAGATCTGCATGGTCCCTATTCAGGAGCTGAAAGCATAGTTTATCCACTCTTCAAGTTTCCATTCAGCATGCTTGCTTTACCTGTAGGGTCTTTGGGGCGGCTAGGTGTAGAAGAAGTTGGCTCTACATCTGGAACCTTTGAATCGTAACACTGCGAGTAGGGTGTCGCTCATACAACACGTAAGACCTGGCGCACGTCCTGATTGCAGCCTGGCCCTGAGCTCTTAGAACTGCAATTCGGGGCTGGTTACAAGATGTTGTCGAAGCTACGAGTTTGTTTTTTGTGGCCATTGAACATAGGGACTGTATGTCGAGTATCATAGGCCCGACTAAGCTGCCACATGAGTAGCACCAGAAGAGGCCTGACTAGGGCGCCTAGAATCCAACTACGATCACGCGCTGCGCTTACCTGTAGTCTGCCGGTAGCTTGTAGTTGGGGATGTTAGGCAAGGACTCTGAGACCTACACCTGTGGACAAGGGAGTCTGAATGCCATGCACTTTGAGATTATGGTTGGCACCCATGAAGCACGTGGTGGGGCCATGAGGGTTAAAGTGTCAAGGTAAGGTCCATGAGAGCGTGAGGTTGGATTTCATCTCGCTTGCCATCCACATTCTGGTCAGAATTGGCACCTGTGGCCGCAAGAAGAGTCTAGGCCAAGTTCATACCGGCGAGGTTGCGGAGATCCCTTTAGCAACCTAGCTTCTTGTCCCCCCCACAACTTACCCGGAGGCTTGCAGGAATGTCTTGTGATCTGTGGGTTTGGCATTCACCCTGGGAGCCAAAAGCCGTTACACCTAACCCCGTACAAACTAAGCCCCAAACACAAAACCCCAAACCCAAGACGCAACTCGACCTCGAGCCGTAAGCTCCAAACCCCCTTAACCCGAAAGTCTGAGGCCTTCCTGGCCTGCTGTTTATGGCTCCTGTAGACCACTTCTTTGGCTGGGGCGGTGACGAGGTGAGGGTTGGGTGTGCTTTTTGGTTTTGGGTGCTTGGTGTAGGGTCAGGGGCTGAGTCATTGAGGATGCAGTGGGGAGGGCTTAGGGTTGAGAGTGTACTGCGTGTCCGGATCCAGGTCGCCGAGCTTTGTCGCAAAGGGTCCAGGAGTGTGGGGAGTTCAGGGCAGAGTGGAGTAAAAGTTCCTAGTTCATATCATCCAAGGGTTCTGGCAGAAGTGTCGGTGGTAGTTGTGTTTGAAATCAAGCCCTTAACGTAGGCGCGTATTCATTCTGACATCCGCCCAGGTAGAATGCAAGCTTAGTTACAGTTATGAGACCTTCGAGAGCCCAAGTAGGCAAAGCTCGTTTCTGCGGCTGTTATGGTCCCGCAGGTTTGGTCAAGTGTCATGCCTTGTAGCGCAAGCCCGGCAGCCTAAACCCTAAGCCTGAGAAAACCTAAAACCTCGTATTGACCTTCAACCCTGCGATGTCAGGTTCCTTTCTTGAGCCGCTTTGGGATGGGTATCATGGCCGGAGATACCAGTTTGAAAAGGTGCAGGCTTGAGGGTTAGGTCGCTAGTCCTCAAACGCTTAAACAGGTTCAAGTTCAGGGCAAGGGATTTGGAACCAGGGATGATGGGTTTCAGGTGTGTGCCTTAGGGGTACGACTTTGGGATGGGGCTGAGGTTCCTCAAAGGTTTATGGGATTTGGGATTTGAGGTCTCAAGATCAATGGCTACAGGAATGATGCTAGGCTTGTGCCTCCATTACCTAGATTTCGACCTTGAGCAGTCATAAGGTTGCTACCATCATATTGCACTCCTGTAAGCCTTCAAAAATCGAGCCCCGAGTACTCCGTGGCGGCGCTTGAAGTATTGCGTTGGGGCGCAAGTGGTCCTACCGAAGCTGTTAATTCGGGCCTGCATCTGAGTAGGTCTAGGGTCGAGGTACAACCTGCTCTTGGCAGTAGAGACAGAGTCACAGCATCAAGACTTCAAGATGCGCGCAGCTCAGAATTTGCTAGTAAGTCTCAAACAGCTTATAACCCCTATGTACAGTAACTCCTGTATAACCCCATTATAGTAGTGTCCTTTTTCTGTTCCACTATCCGCTATATAACCCCCATATAAACCCTAACCCCTGTAGTTGATTTCTGCAAGAATCCTGCAGCTCCGAAAGTGCACTCCACGTGGTTTGGTGCAGTCGGCTACTCTTTGGGCTTTTGGAGTCCCCGCCTTGTCCCAGACCCCTGGGCGGATCTAGAAAGTAGATCCCCACCTTAAGGGGTCCTAGGAATAACCTAATGGTAATATAGGCAACCATCATGGGGGCTCTACTTTCTAGATCCTCCCAGGGGTCTGGGATTCTGTTTGGAATCCACAGGTTTCGGGTTTAGGGTGAAGGGAGGCGGCCCAACGAGGGCGAGTTCATGGTTCAGGGCTCAGTTATGGGCATGCCCTCCAGACCTTCAGCACTGCAGAATCACGCTTCTCAGATAAATGGAGACCGGACATGGGCAAATGGCTACGTTCCAAAGAGACTGACCGACACCGTTTTCCAAAGAGACATATGACATGTGATAAGAGATGTCCAACCCAAAGCCTGCACATCGACGGCACCTGAATTGCCATGAACCCCGTCATAGTCATTGTCAATTGCTAGGAGGACCCGAATACTTGTACACACACTGGCTGAGACCTTGCGGATGCTGTAGAAAAACTCTAAAATCACCAAAACATTGTCCAAGACTAGTATCTACCGCATTACCATGAATCTGGACCTTTCACCCTTGAGGACGCTGATAGACGTGTAAAAAACTACCCGATGTGAGATAGCCCGACGCACCTCGGTGAGCACCTCTTTTACCTCTGCAGGAACAATGCTAACGCAACACGCCAGCATTGACAATCCAGGAGCGCCATCACTTGAAGATGGACTCATCAGCTGTCGACATTTCCCCACTCCGAATTCCGATCTTCTTGATTCTAGAAACAGGGTCCATCCTCTCTCCATCCCTCTAGTTAAGGGGACTTTGCTGGTCAGAATTAGCATGAGGAAAGGGGAGGCATAGGAGACTACCCAGCAAAGGCAATATCGTCTACCATCACCCGTGGCTGTACTACGTGAAGGTCGGGCCCTTTGAGCCGAGATTCATCAGCTCTCATACCCTCCCCCACACTAACATGGAACCCATATAGGCCAACTGAAGGCGACAGACAGTAGTCTTTGCAAGACCTCTTTTCGGTTTCATTGACACAGAAAAGCACAGGCACTCCTGAGCTGCAAGTATGCGGGGAATCCTGCAGGTTCATTGTAATACAACTCACCTTACCTGGGTTTCTATCGTGAGAAAAGCTCCTATGTAATGAATTCCCCCCATATTTGCAGAAGAGTAAGTTAGGCAAACTCCCTCAGATCTGTTTGTGAGGGGAAGGTTGATTGGTTTGGACTGCGCTGGGGCTGGTTTGGATGCACTTCGTGCATTCGCTTTTGATGCTTATTTGTTACCAACACTTTCATAGGTCCCGCAACCCGTCCTACACGCAAAGACCCTAAGCCACAAACCACAATCTCCAAACCACCCATGGAGATTTTCTCCAACTTACCCTTGATAATCCTTATCAGGGATTCAGAATCCCCGTGCAGTCCCCATGTGTTCCTAGGGTCTGAACGCCATCTAGTTCGAGAAAGCCCCCAAAAGGACTTAGGGTTTATGGTCTGGGGCATTTAGTATGCATTTGCCCTATTTCTCCCAATAGCGCACCCCACCCATCTTGAGCAGTCGTCTACTCACTTGCTGGTTGTGCAGCAAGAGCAGCCACGACCCTCCTAACACCGGTGCTTATGGGAATCATGCATCTCAGGTGGTTTCTTCAAATTTCAGTCTCTCTTGATGCCAAGTATCTCCTTAAAGAAGGTTTTGGTGATGATGCAAGCAGATCCCAACTTGTTGAAATATCCATATGCTGTTCGCACCTCGGCAGGCTATCTACGTGGCTTATGTTTGCTGGACGGTCAAGACTACCGTCTACAAAGCACAGGACAGGAATGTAGCGATATGTGCAAGCTTCGAAGGCAGGTCACTTCAGATTCTCGAGCCTGGGAATTGGAAGCCAACATGCTGCAGATAATTCACACATTAACAATCAAGAGCGCAGTTGAAATCACGTCTTTACACACTGGACGCGCTCCACAGTAGGCTTCAGAGAACTTTGTGTTGGCAGGTTTCCTTCGTCTTTGTTTTGCGGTCTGACTTAGCATTGCCGTGGATGGATGGCAGTCTCTGCGCACAATCCGTCTGGAGTCCCGAAGGAAAGCTCCACAATCTCCAAGTTGATTCACATGAACTCCTAGGGTCACATTATCTGACTCTTTGAGCAGCCACGAAACACATGGAGCCCAGGCATGGGCTGTGCCTTTAGAACAGTAAGACAGCTCAAAAGAGTTAAGCGCTTGGATGTTCGATCTGACTGCTATCTTCGGTATGTGATGGGATCCCTGTAATCTCCTCAGAACCCATACATCTGAAGAATCCTATGAACCTCTCGTTGCTAACATCCCAAACCAACTGGCTTAAAGGAGTTTTTTGAGAACACATCCTGAGGTGGCAGCAGTAGCTGTAAGCTATACAGGGGAAGGAAAGCAGGATGAGTTAAGACACATGTTCATTCTTTAGGAGGACCCCCCACCCTGTAATAGTGGTATAATAAGAATATAAGAGGACCCGAATATAATCCCTATTATCCCATATAGTCACTATTACTGGGTGGGGGGTCCACCTCATTCAGTCTGTTCCAGATTTTACAGTTGTGGGAAGGTAAACTCTATGGCTTCGCGTACGGATTGGCGACTAAACTCTGAGCTTGCCTGAAGTGGATGGTCGTGCGTAGGATGAGGCTTACAGACCCAAGGGGATTCAAAGATTAGATCACCTATAGGAAGTTATATAGGGATTATTCTAGGCTCCTATGGGGGATCTAATTCTCAGATGCATTCAAGGAGTTGGGAAGCTCTGTGTAGGGTTGTTTTCTGTCGAAGCTGTTGGAGTTCAGTGAACGCGCTTCTGCTTCTTTAGGAGGGTGCTGGTTCCACCTCACCCTACGAACCCTCACACAACACGTGTGCAGGAGCAGTTTCTTGCCCACCGCTTCAAGTGGTTGAAGAAGCTGCCGCACCCCAGATCCAGGAGCTTGGGGGGTAAAGACTCAAAAGTGAGAGTGTAAATGCTGGTTATGAGCTGAGAAGGGAGGAATGGATCCCTATAGTGGTCCCTACACAATCATTGCCAGTTTCCATGTCCTTTTACTTTCCTTGTTCTTGCTAGCATCCATCTTGCTTCGGCACGTTTATTTGAGAAGATGCTGTCCCTTGCATTGCACAGCATTTGGGACTTGTGTTATTGTGTTTGGCTGTTGAGGTGTTCATGCCAGTCACCATAAGGATTGGAAGCAGGATTGAAGGGCATATTGAAGCCAGCACTGCTGCTAACATGGCTTGGAGCTCCTCGTTTGATATTGGGGTAGACAAAGGTGCATCTGGGACGTCGCTCTGAACGAGGTCCCAATGCATGGTGTTCCCCATCTACGGATATTTGCAAGTTGCAAGTTTTTTCCAGTGAACACGCTTACAGCGAATTTCTCGAATCAAACTATAATAGTCTTAGGCTTTGGCAGTATCATGGGTACGTCTGTCGAATTTCAGATGAACTTTCTGTTGGCAACAAGAAAGGCTTCAATCAAAAGAATTCATGTTATTGCAACAGCGGTGGTCAAAGTGTTGCAAATGGCTTTTGACTGATGCTTGGACTTTGCAAGTATGGTTGCTTTGACGATCTCATGGAGACAATGACCACCTGCCCTTGAAGAAGTCCCACCCAACCTGGAAGCCTGGAAGGACTAATGCAGGGGCGTTCCTCCAGGGAGGGCTGGAATATATGTCCATGACTATCATGATTCCCATTCCATGCAAAACAGATAACTGGTCAAAGGGTCTCGCACAAAGCGCCCATCGGAAAAACCCGAAAGCATTCCGTGAAGTTTCTCAAGACGAGGTACTCTTGTTGGACAACCTAGAAATCTCATTGGGCCAGCATGAGATGATAGAAGTTTCCCATTTCCCATTGGGATTATGTTGGTCATGCTGAGTACGCCGTATGAAGCTAGTTACAAACATGCACATGTTTTCTCTATCTGATTCAGGCAGATGCTTGCAGTTGCAGATGTTTTTCTTGCACCTATTCGGTTTTTGCGTGCAATATGATCCCGTTCCAATTTGGGATCCCGCCAGTTTCTGTGATCATACCAAAGCCTTTTGCAGGGCCTCCAAGAGTTCATTCTTTCCATCCTTTCAAAGGCCCACAAGGATCAGGGATTTTCTTGGAGTTGAAGGTGTCGACAGTGTGTGGACTCTAAACTCGAAATCCTCATCGCTCGAAACCCTGAACCCTGCCTAAGACACCAGGACGGTAATGGTCGAAGGCATTCCCAGGAATTCTTGCTCCGAGCAGAAGGCGCTTAGGGCTTCTCTGAGATGGAAGTAGCAGCAGCAGTAGCAGCAGTGGTTGTCGTCATGGTCATCCTCATCATCGTCGTCATCATCTTCTTCCTCTTGCCTCAACCCAACCGAATAACAGCCGTTCTGGTGGTGGTGGTGCTGCTGCTGCTGGTGCTGGTGCTGCTGGTGCTGGTGCTGGTGCTGCTGGTGCTGCTGGTGCTGCTGGTGCTGCTGGTGCTGCTGGTGCTGCTGGTGGTGGTGGTGGTGGTGGCGGCGGCGGCGGTGGTGGTGGTGGTGGGCGGAAACAGCCACGGTGGGGCTGGTCAGCGGTGGTCCGTGATGGGTTTGTGGGCGGTGGTAGTCGGTTGTGGTCGGTGGTGGTCAGCGGTGGTCTTTCTTGTCAGTGGTGGTCAGTGGTGGCCGGTGTTGAAGGAGGCGGAAGCAGCTGCAGCTGCGGCGGCATCAGGTACCGAACGGGAGCACCAAAAGCAGCACGGAAGTGATCATCATAGGAGCAGCCCTTATCATGATTCCCATGGTACCGGTGCTACGCATCCTGGCAGGTCCGTGAGTTCTTTGCGGCTGCGCTGTCTTCGGATGTCATTGAGGTGGGTTTGAATAAGCATTCAATTCCAAGCGCGAATTTCAGTATGAAGCTTCAGCTTGCCATCATCAGCATCAGTCTAATTTTCTTGTCTTGGGTTCGCATTTGTGATCCCTTGTACTTTTGGGGGGTATGGGTTTCCTTAGACAATTGGAGGGCTAAATTCTTGAATTGCGGGTGCTTTTCATTCGCGCTCAACCCAACCCCTGGGCCGATGAAAACAGCACTGACGAGCAAACATTTGGAAAGCCCGCAACTGCCCCCACGTTCCTTGCGGAAACAGCCAATAAGTGGGAACCCGCTACTCCTCGTACTTGTTTCGTCCACGAGTGGTTGCTTCAAAGCTTATGCGGGCCATTTGCTGACCTGGCTTCGGAGCCAGTTGCATAGGTAGGCGGCATAGTTCAAGACTCAAGAACGTTTGGCAGGTTCCGGGTCTACCTCGACATGCAGCGGCTGCACGAACAGTTTTGTCAGCTATAGGAATTATGAATGTAGTAGGACTAATGGATGGCCCACAGCAGTCTTGCGCAAAAAACTTGAAGACGCCTAGATAGGGTTGAGGGCTTAGGTGTTATGGCTTCGGCTTAGGAAAGCAGCTATTTGTGTGGAGGAAGTCCATGTTGTCAAGCAGACCAAGACGCTCGAAAAGTTGGTTGATGCCAGGCAACCCGCTCGACACGGTCAGCACACACAATTGTGTGCGCAGCGTAGGTTCGAGGAATTTTGATATTTTGTGTATTGCGGACCTCATGTTAGCAGCTGTTACCTGCTGGCAGCCTCGAGGCATGTGCTACTTGGGGACTATCTATGGGCGTTTCCTGATAGGTTTTGTTTGCATACTTGTTAACAGGGACCTTGATGATCCCACGGCATTGTGGTATAAGGCTAGGGGCCCCGGGGCTTTCTGTTTTCGGAAAGTTCAATATGCGGTGTGTCAATCGCGCAGAGACGGCTTTCCAATCATCAGCTATGGTGCGTTGTCTCCAAAGCGGGCAGAACAAGTTTGCTGATGCAAGACCGATCCAAACATCGCCAAGCATGTCCTCCGTCCGCCACCTACTGCATGTTCGAAGTTCCATGATCCCTGCACACTATACTTCTCCGATGATCCTTACCTCTACACACATCTGACCCCACCCTGCAACTCCCTATCTCGGCTGATAATCAATCTCCTTCTGGAGGACTGTTGTTGCCCTAACCTTGAACACCCCAAATCCTGCAGAGATCCAAGCACCCTCTGGCATGGCGATTGTGGCCACACAAGCCCTAAACAGGCGAGGCCTTTTCGATCTCAAGCAGCAGGCAGAGTTCAAGCTCGAGAAGGAGCATAGGGTACAAGGTCTGGGGATGTAGGCGGTGGGGGTACAGGCGTTGAGGAATCCGGAGGCTTCAGGGTCTAGTGGCTCTAGTGACTCTCGTGAGTCTAGCGTCTTCTGGAATTGGAGGATATCATAGTCTGAGGGTGTAGGAGGTTCGCAGTGAAGACTTTTGGCCTTGAGGTTGTTAGAACCGGAAATGGAATAGCTCAAGCTGCAGGATGTGAAGCCTGGTTTGGAAAAGCGAGTTGCCCCGGCTGCCGGTCATGCCGACTCCCCCCTACTCCGCTCATATGGGACCTCTTAGGTGTCAAGTAAACACCTGACAACAGTCCTTGTCCGGACTCCTTTTCGGGCAGCTGCCCTAAAACTTGCTAGGCACCTCAACCCTGAAGCCAAAACCCTTAATCCCGAAACCGAAAATCCCCGAACCCCAAAACCCTGAATCCCCAAGCAGGGTTCGCTTGCGAGGATGGTGTCCGGCCCGAACACTTGTATGTGGAAGTTGGGAAGGCTGGGGTCTAATCTCTTCCCCCGAATAGAACCCCCCACCCCTCCCTAATATCCAATAGTCCCATTGTGGTTGTACCACAGTTTGGAATATGTAATGTTAGGTGGGGTGGTGGGTTTTTCGGTAGGGGGAGGGGATTACTCATGCTTGAGTATAGATTACGGGCTAGGGTTGTTTCTTTTAGACCCTAGACATAGGAAGGACCCCTGAAAACTTGTCGTTTGTAATCGGAATTTACGGTCATGGGTCAGGTTTTTGAGGGTGTGGTGGTTCACATGGGGTCTGTGTGAAGGTGAGGTTTGGATCAGGCCTCAAACTTGGAGATTTTGGGAGTCCCAGCCAGATACAAATAGGTAGTGATAGACAACCAAGTAGGACAGAACCTGCTGGCCGAGCCCCGGAGCCTGTCAGTCAGCCATTTAACGGCACGATCTGGTATGTATATTTAGCCTGCCTCCAGTTGCCCTGCCAATAGGTACTCCAGACCCCGCACGCAAGCCTCCAACATCTTCCGCCGTTCCGACATGGACCCCCAAACTAATTTGCGCATGCAAGGGCACCCTGAAAGACATAAAGCCATGAATCTATCCAAACCCCAAACCCGAAGATCCGTTGTTTGGATCGGCAATGGTATTGCCCCTTTCCTTGTTGGGCCCGTACGCGGGTGGTAGAAGGATGGCTTCCGAAATCCAGATTGTTATAAAGTCCCTGCCTCAACGGTCACTGATTTGGCAAATTTATGTGCACAGACGCAGGAGCACAATTTTCTCTTACCTGCACGCTGAAGCCTGGCTGTACGCCCACATTCTCCGAAATTGGTACCTCTAGGGACCAGGGGATATGCAGGAATTGTGATTGTGTTTACGGTGGGCCAGTTCCAGGAAGGAGTTAGAATGAGTTAGATAGGATGGGGGGCACGCTAGAAACACCCACCTCAACACAAGAAGCCTGATTTTCAACGCCAACTTCACAACCTTGCAGAACATGTCAAGAGTCTTTAGAGATGATGTTGCTCAAGACACGAATCCCCAAACCATCTTGAGCTCAAGATGCAACAGGTTCCCCACAAGGTCGACAGCATTAACCACTACACGGAGCAGGCCTTTTACATTTCCATTTCGGTTTAGGGTTGAGGGCTGAGGTTGTAAGAGATGACTTCCCGTCGAGGAAGGGTAGATTCGGGTATGTGTTGCAGCCGCAGACAATTTACTTGCAGAGAAAATTCAGGGTCTCCTGTGCTGAAGCATTTCAATTGTGCAATGGAGGCGCCTGCGTTGTGTGATTAGGGCTGCTACCGTCGATATATGTGTGTACGCATGTGTATACACGTAAAGAATAGCAGCATGATGTTAAAGATTTATGATGTAAGCTTTAGGGCTACGAATTGCTTGGAATTTTCCTACTTCAAGGTTCATGGGACTTAGTAGCTGGTTTTCTAACCGGGGGCATAACCTGACTTAGAACTTGAGAAATTCTATGAGCCCAGTTGGAAGTATTTACTTCGTCCCACGTACTTCACCCGAAGAAGCCACCCTGAATCATCAGCTCTTAGCCCACAATTTGCTGAAGCCTTTATGATTCATAGGGCTACGGCATGAGCACCTCAAAGGAGCCTCCCCCATGCAAACTTGGACCCTGTTATGGCTCCCTTTTGGAGCTCAAAGTCTAGAGGCAGCCCCTGCTCAGATCAACGTGATGTAAGGGAACCCCTGCCACACTTTGGCCCGAAAGCATCTGAATACAAGAACATAACGGGGCCCAAAGAATATCTTGAAAAACACCTTGCGCGGCCGTATCAATGTCATAGACATGCATATTTCCGAAGGTTTCTGGTACTTAGGGTCATGAAGGAGCAATGCTAGCACCAACTGTCGGACCCCCTAGGGGATATGGTACTTTCTATAAGCAGGGGACCCTAATACCGACCCTCAGTCAGTATAATCCTCATCATGGGGACCCAAAAAAGGATCCTCAATTTTCGGAAGCTCATACATGTTTCATCGACAGGTTGCCAAGCTTGAGACGGACATCACAGAGGAGTACCATCGCATCACAAAGGAGTCGACGGAGGCTAAGGGTTCAGGGATGACACGCTGAGGGTTCCGAGGTTGAGGGTTTGATGTAGCAGCTGGGATAGTCATCAATCTGTTCCCCAGGAATCCTTATACAATCATAGTATACCTAGTATACTGTAACCAAAGCCTTGGGCCCATACATCAGGCGCTTCTAGGCTCAGGGTGTAGGATGCACACTCCCCAATCCTTTTCTCTTGCTTTACCACAGGGGATCCAAAAGGTGCTCCTGAACTTGAAAACTTGAAAACCTCTGTAAAGTGTGCGGATCTAAGTCCGTCTTGGATTTCAGTCTTTATTAATCGTTTACCCAAATCTCACCGCAGACGTGCTCTAGGTAGTTGTTGTTTATAGCTCTGAGTCCTTGAGCCAAATATCTGTGGCTCAGAGAGGCCGCAAACCACAAAGCCCCCGAAAGACTAGAAAGGGTTTGGCGCTGCAAGGCTATGAGAAGGGGTATATTGGGTCGCTTGTGCCTTTGTAAGAGCACTGGAAAATGCAATATTCATTAGCTCCACGCTGATCTCGCAGGTGCTTGAGGGAGAGTGGGGCAGAGTACGTGATGTGAAGCACCTCACATCTTCGAAGTTCTGGGTCCATGGGGTTCAGGTTCGGCCTTTTTGAGGGTTTGGGAGCAGCGTTTGCTTTAGGATACGGCTCGCCTTAGCCTCAAATCCAGCACGTCGGGGAGTTGGGTTTCTGGCAGAGGATTATTCTGATTGCTTGTGTACTTTGACGTAGGGCTCCTCATGATCTACACTCCTGGCCTTGCAGAAAGCCAGAAGGTGGCTTATCACCCTTTCAGTTAAGAGTGTCCTACTTTCCACATTAGTTTGCCCAACTCAAAACCCAAAGCGCCAGCAGTGTAGGTGGGTGAGATGAACTGTTCCAACGCCTTTGTCACCTTCACTGATCGCAAGCATGTCGAGATGGCCAAGGAGAGTTGTTCACAGTGCTTGAGGGCTTGGGGTTGACCCCAAGAAAGCACGAAAAACAGAAGGATCCTGAGACAAGGTCCCCGAACATCGGGATGCTCTAGAATCCTCTTTGGGAGATCCTCGTGCTTATGCTGGCCTTCTGAGCCCATAGTCTAAGTCCTGTAGAGTTCAGGAGCTGCCTGCACTGCAACGTCTGCCTCCATCTGCCATGGTCATTCATTATGAGGGAGCATGGCTTTTACTGGGAAGCCCTGCTACAACTTTCCAATTGCAAAACTCAGCAGGATATTGATTTAGAATGTCGGCGTCATGAGAACACGAACGCTTGGGGCTTGATACTGCTCATTACTTTCCCAGTGCTCGAATATAGGCTCCAACCGCTACACTCTTGATGGTTTTGAGCGCCTCAACAGCTGGCATTCCGGACACAGTCCGTCTGGGACATGTGGATTCCAGTCCCTTGAAAAGAGTGGGGTTGGGTCTAGGTTCTCTCCAGGCACGAGATGCAAGAAATCTCTCTGCAGAGGGGAAAGAAATCAGGAAAGTGTGTATTCAATGGAGGAAATCTTGCATCATGGCCAGGGCACTGTTGCAGTTTCTACAATGAAGTACGATATTTCAGATGGTGCAGGATTTCTTCTACCAGCTGAAGAGTATCTTGAAGCAAAAACAAAAGCGCTGCCTTTTGCATGCCCGCAACCTGCAAGACAAAAGTTAAGTGCTGCAAGATGGGCTCGCCCTAATAACAACTCCCACCCTAAGCATGTCTAACAGAATAAAGTCACATAATGGGAGGGGGCGTTGCTTTCTTGTTTTTGTCATTTCTCTTGGGGAAGGTTAGGGGGGGGAGGTGGTTAGATTCGCGTTTGTGTTCACATTATGGGAGGGTGGCAGACGAGGCTAGAAGCCAGCAATGAAACTATAAACAACTACTTGCTGCAGCACTATGTGCGGCAACGGCCTCTGATGGCCCTTTGGGTGATCACATGCTGTTGCAGGAGCTCGATTTCTCACCGGATGAGGATGAGTGGGTTCAGAGCTCAGGTGCTTCTACTTGCAAGTGCGCCGCATGGTGCCTAAATGTCGTGTTTTCAGACCTACGAGAGTTCCAGCTTCTGTTGACAAACCGGGCGCATGGTTAGTTATGATGAAATCACGGATCATGAGCCGGAAGCTCTTGTCGCAATTGTTGCTTTGCATTTCCCAAACATTGTCATGCTTCAACAGAGCCATTTCCATAAGCCATTGACTTGCCCTAGTGAGGCTTGCAAGCACACATTCATTTTGAAGCAGTTTTCAGCTTCATGTCCTCAGTAGAACATGTGAAAACCGTACGTCGAACACGGCCTCGAAACCTGTGGGCTGAGCTTGCCCATGAAGCCATCAACTTGTCAGTCTCCAGCTCGCAAGCGGGTGCCCTCCCCTGATCGTAAAGGAACCCCGGCCAAATCAAAATAGTGGCACTATCCCATTTCGGCTGTGGATGGACGTAATGTTAAATCTGCACGACAGCTCACATTTTGGGGTACCCGTTTTCATAAATCACTTAGTCATGTTGAGTAGAAGTGGAAACCTGATGTGCGAAAGTATTCATCTGAGTCATATGCGGTCATCGACTCTTGTGCCTCAATGTGTGTACAACACGCGTCAGGATTGCCTACATCCAAAGTGGAATGTCGTACGCCCTTAAAATGCTGACCCTCCAATCTCAAACCCCATTTCCATGCCAAACCTAGAGTCCAAAGCGTCTGCATCCCAAATCTCTCACAATTATGCCCCGCGTAAAACCCTGAAATCATGTAGTGTGTGGTACAAGCACAGGCTCCAAGTAGAAATCTGGATTTTTGCAACACCCTAGACTCCAAATGCCGTCTAGTCTTCCCAGCATCCCGGCGTTGCGTATATAGCTTGTATAGAACACCTGCGCACCAGGATTCCGAGACAGCACATTAATTTTGTCTGAAATCATTATCTAGGGTCCCCTCAAAAGACACGCCATGTATGAACAGAAGCAACGCTATCTTCAAGCGTCCCCACAGGTAAGACCCAAAGCTTCAGTAAGCCCTTCACCAAGAGATATGCAGAAGGGGCCTGACAGTGAAGGATGCCCCATTGGTGGGGGGGGGTGTTCAAAGCCATCCCTGTAGAATGTTTAATGCAACCACCTAAATCCCATCCCGAGGGCATAAAAAGTACATTAGCAGCCTAGAAAGAAGTTCATTAGGCTTTTTTGCAGGAAAGCAAAATTGCTTTGGATATATTCTGTAGTTGTTGGCCCCGAAGAAATGGAGAAGCCGAGCCGCCAAGGTTGTCACGGAGCCGCCAGACGTGACCATGGTACGAACCCTTCATGCACAGTAGGGGATTCCTGGGTATTTTGTTGGGATCATGTGATTTGGAGGCTTTAGGAGGGACCCTCGCTGGGGGGACTACCTGGTTCTGTAGGAGGTATGGCAGGTATGGTATACATTCTAGGTATCCCTCCCAAGAGCGCTTTATATGAGTGCTTCAAGATTGGGAGCTGTGACTGTAGATATGAGGGCCCAGGGCCTAAGCTTCAGGGTACAAGGCCTGGATTTATAGGGGAAACAGATGGATTTAAGGAATGTAGAGGGTTGAAAAGTATCAGGAACACTGGCCCTGTCCTTGTTTTTTCACTAAGGAGGGATTATGTTGTTTTGGAAGATGTATGGGCGGCCTTCGTTCGAGAAATACCTGGCTTTTTTATGGTTACTGAGGACGGAGTTTGCGGAGGTTGCATGGTGTAGTGTCTAGGGTTGAAGGTCCATGGCGTGTGCGTGTTTGAGGCGAAGTGGTGTCCCATCGCCCAAAACTATAGGGAATCACTAAACCCCCAACCCCGAACCCTAGAAACTCCACAAACCCTAGAAGCGCCCCAAATCCTAGAAACCCCACAAGCCCCACAAACCCTGCAAACCCTAGAAACCCGAGAAACCCTACAAACCCTTCACCAGAATGCCAAGGATGGGGCGAGTTGCGGACGGACCAGGACATTCAAACGGCTTCAGAGCTCGTGGGCTATGCGGCTGTTTTCGGCTTGCAACCTTGGCCAAGATACTGAAGGAGGTCCTGACGGATCCAACACATAGGAGTTTCCCAGACTTAGAGTTACTAGAATCATGGGGAATCAAATGGAAAGGAAATGGAGAATGAAATGGAAATCAGGATTGCATTGATTTTGCATGGATAAAGGTTTCCCAAAAATGTGAGTACTATTTTGGGTGTACCACTAACTGAGGGCTCCCCTGTTGAGGAAAAATTTCAAATATGGAACCTGCTAATGTTTGTTCACGACATCAGGCTTCAGGGAGCCTATCCAGCCAAAATCCCGAGAGATGTCTTAGTAGTAGCATAAACCAGAAAATGCCAGGTCAGGGGATTGTGGGCTCTGTGGGTAGTTGGTTTGGTGGTTTAAGTGGCCAAGGCTGCAGAGTCTTGGTTTGCAGAAAGAGTTGCTCTTGAGGGTTCGGGGCTCAGCATTATAGTAACAGGTTGTGTACGTCATTAGGTACATAGCATGCCGAGACCCGAATTCCCATAATGTAGGGAGTCCTATATGGTCCAATATTGGACAGGGATACTACACCCCAATGAAATGGATTATCCTTTGGAAAGAGAACAGAAGATGAAATGTAAGCTATTAAGTATAGGCCTGACCACTACCAGGCTGGATTGGTTTCTAGCCCCCTGTCACCCGTCCTGTTCCATGTCTTTCTCTCACAACCAGCAAGAGCGCCGCTCACCTCCTGTCTCTCATTGGGATCTCGGCTGGGCTGCCGTGTGATACTTCGCGTTCATAAGGATCAGAAGTGCGTACACATAGCTGGTGAGGAGCCTCCAAAGAAAGGCTGTAGCCCCAACTCTCAGAGGTTACTAAGTCCCATGAACCTCCAAGGAGGGCCTGGGCGGGGCACAGTGTTCCTGTACTATAGAAGTCTGAATAATCACGCATGTTATTTGTTTAACCTTTATCTAATCGCAGCACAAAGTGCCCCCAAAATTTGTTCTCGATGTTTAGGTGATTATGTTAGCTTGGGACTGTAGCTCTGCATGGCGGTCCAGCATAATAATGATGTCCAGTGCTCATCAGAACATTTTTTGTTGGGCCCTTTTTTTGAAACTACTATGGGCTGTGGACCCATGTCCCGTTTCATTGCGAGCGCAGGCGAGAACCATTAACCGATTGCAAGTGTGTTGGCACACTTGGCACACTTGCTGTTCCGGATAAATTAACCGATTGCAAGTGTGCTGGCACACTTGCTTTTACAGCACACTTGACACTGAGCAGTCAAGTGGGTCAAGTGGGGTGCAAGTGTGCTGCAAGTGGGTCAAGTGGACCAAGTGGGCTGCAAGTGGGCCAGGTAGGGCAAGTGTGCCACAAGTGGGCCAAGTGTGCTGCAAGTGGG